TTTGCTAAAAACATATGTTTGCTAACTTGACTTCTCAACCTCAAATGTGTTTTAAACCCCCCACTTAAATTTTCATCTTCACATTTCATCAGGTATGCGATCTACTTTATGCTTGCGGGCATGTTTTAAGCAGCTTAATTTCACAAGTTAATGTTCTCTGTTAAATTTATTATGTATCAACGAAAGATAAACATAGAAACATGAGCACCTTAGTTAAGGGAAATGTTATATAATCTCCTTTGTCTAAAGAAAACAGGTTAATTTTGTAAGAGTATACTGTCTAATCAGTTCATTTATTTCTTGATCTCTTTCAAGATGGCCTCAATATAATGCTCTTCTATTTGATCCGTATCGCTGAATAAGCCATCTAAAGAGGATCTCGGTGTTGCATTAATATCTAAAGCAATTAGTACCGATGGTAGCATTATCTACGTTTTAGTACTTCTGATGTTCACTATTAAAGAAGATGTTTGGTCGCTTGTGATTGGTACCTGGGAATGGGAAACGGCTCAGCAAATTTCTCTACTTAGAAACAATATGACGCATTTTAAGCTATAACATTGCTTTTAAAGCCACGGCTCGGAAGATTACCAACTGATGGGAAAACTCGGACCATGTATTCAGCCTACTGTGTCTTTATGTGGACTGGTCGACTGGCGGACTTGGATTCAGGTTCCAATGGCCCCCTCCCAATGTGTTTTTTTAATGATATTCCCTCTCCATGAGATCCGAGCGAGGTGTGGCGGCAGTTAAGGTCCTCTTGAATTGGTTATAACACGGGGCCAAGGTGGGGAGCCAGAGAGTGTGGTAGATGCAGCGCAAGTCTACACTCATTATAATCTAATTCACACGCAATTCGCAGTCCCTGCACCGCATGGTGGACCTCTTCGGATAAGAGGGTCGAATTCTCACTCCTACGAATAAATACACAATATAGTATTAATATCAAAGTGGTTTCAGGGAATATGATAAACGTAACCGATGGCGGTTAGAGGAGCAATTTATAATAGCGAGGTTTCCAACTTCCGATAAAAAATAGCTCAGTTGCTGACGGCCATTTCTGTTTGTCGAGATGGCGGTTTGAGGAGCAATTTATAATAGCAAGATTTCCAACTTCCGATAGAAAATAGCTCAGTTGCTGACGGCCGGTTTCACTCAAAAGTTTGCCCTCATCGACTAGCTGCCAGAAACCACATGACCACATAAACCTCGACGGTGTTCTGTTATAGCCGCATCCAATAATCGGTTGCGCTTGACTTCTCATAATATGGTAACACGCTCATTGAACTACCAATTTACTTTCTGAATTAGTCGACAGAATTTACTGGAGAGAGTCGAAAGTTAGTGTGAGCTACGTCGAACATTTTGTTTAACTTTTGTCACTGACAGTGCGGTAACAGTTCAATTTAGGTTTCCAAACAGCACACGAAACCCCATCCTTCTAGAATACAGGACAGATAGTAATAAAAGTTAAGTGGTTGGGGCATATTGGTAGAAAAAAAAATAATTAAAAGTGTAGAGCGTATAAAGGTAGAAAAAAATAGGTAGGAGTACCTCGTGGGGCCGCCTGGGGAGCGCGCTTGGCGCGCTCCTTTGTCTTTCGGGCTCATGATTTTAGGGGAGAGGACGGGTGGAGCATGTCAGGGAACGAATTAGATCGCAATTATTCTGTAAAATAAAAACGTTACGAAGGTAAGTTGGGGCGCGTACTCAAACCTCGGGTGGGGACACTGAAGCGTGCTTTAATATCATCGCTAACCACCCACTGGACCAACGGCGAGCGCATGTATGTCGGGGGAGTGTGCCCCAATCTCGGGCGAGGTCATTGACGTAAATTTTCTAGTGGTATCACCAACAACAACTAGAAAAAAAGTTAACGCAGTACAAAAGTGGGAAAATTGTGGAAATCACCCTACTTAAAATTTGTAAGTAAGCGATTATTCCCGTGGTTAATGTGAAAGGCCAATTTTGCTTAATATACTGACCAAAGCGGTTTTTATATGCAGCAGCCTTCCGAGGACCACTCTGCAGTTCAATGCCCTAATCAAATCTCTGCTGGATCGATGGATGGCGTGTAGAAAACTGGAAGCTTACGGGTAATTCAACCTATTTAAAAATTTAAGTTGGTGGCTATAATACATTAGGACCTTTCGAGGACCCCACTTGGAAACTGTACCATAAAATGAATAATTGTTTTAATAACCAAATCACCGAATATTTGCGCGCGGTAAGTAAAATGGCCTAATAGTGCCCAACTGGACACAGTGGACTCTATATTATCTCTATATAGTCCTTATATAATTTCCATAGCAACTTTTATGAAGATTAGGGATTACACAGACGTGATATAGAGTCGACATTTGTGTGCAGTTGAGCACTATTGGGCCATTTTAATTAAAGCGCAGAAATATTTGGTTATTTAAATAAGCTGTTTGGGACATTAAATTGAAGTGTTACCGAAAATTCTTATTTGAATAAAGCAAGCCGTCATCCATACATTTTGTCCAACTGTTACTTTCGTCCTGGAAACTGTGACGACACAACCTAGGAGAATCACTAGTCAGTCAAAAGACGAACTCATCGCACGTAGAACACGGGTAATAGAAAACATAAGTGAAAACGACCAAAAAGACTAAAAGGAACGCGGAGGAAAAGGGCATAGTACTACTTAATAACGAATGCTACTCTGCGGTAGCTATAAAAAACTATAAAGGCTAAGAAAGGAATCTGTTTCACAGACTTCAGACTTAGCTATTCTGTTGGACAGAGGCCACGAATATTCTGATCTCCAGAATTACTAAATGGCATATTAAACCTTAAGAGGTAACCTCCGACGAAGACTACATTTTGGCTGTTTAAAGCACATTCACAGATCACCGAAAATATAAGCTGCTTATTTTTGTCTTTGATTAACTAAGTGCGCTTTGTGGAATTGCGTATATTTGGCCAAATAAACTTTGAAGTATGGGGTATTCCTATCACCGTCAGTTCTAAAAAACAATTCATCGATCTTGTCGAAAGCGCTGCAATAGATTATGATTAAATGCTTTCGTGGTTTGGTCGTTCACTTAAGTCCGATAGCATTTAACCGTGAAGAATTGAATTTAAAATATAACCAAATCTAGCACTCGTAAAAGCACATCACAGCATTCGAATCGCAGAGTACAGATTCAGATTACTTCTACGGCGATGAATCTAGCCAAGATCAAACCAAGAAATATCTCAGACGTCAGTACCATCCAATTTTATTGCAGAAGTAGCTTTCTGCTTATTAAAGATTGAATTGTTTGTTCTCATGTCGGTAAGGCTATGCAGTTTTAATGATGGTTTAGTCAAGACAAATTGATAACTTCAACCGACTCCAAAGCCCGATGGATTACAGTAGCTACGTTTCAGCAGAAATGAAACCCAGCGTGTATTTATGGGACAATTTAAACTCAGATCTTTAGGAAAAGCACTTACGTACGCACGCCGAAGAAACTGAATTTTGTACAAGTATTTTATTATGTAGCGATGTATCACGATCTAGAAGCTGACGAGAAAAGGAAACTAATCTTTCCCACGTACCTCCTGTCCTTGACTGAATATCTTGGGTCATTTGTGAGATGACGTGTAGAAAGTAAACAAGTCGATGAAATTATGATCAATATTATGAGAACCTATTCGCTGTAACAGGGTGGTTGTCGAAATATTTTCTTACCACGACACCCCTAATGACGTTCGTGACCATCAAACTTCACACCTAATTCTCCTCCATTTGATGCAGTCTCTTGAGTATCTCGAAAACCTTGCCGCCGGCTTCAGAATGTTAGCTGGCAGTCTAGATCTACAAAAGACGTTAAATATAACGAATAATAGCTGCAAGCCTTGCAATACGCACATGATGATATTTGTTTTCCCCCTATTGGAGGTCCAGCTTTCGGAACTGTGGTCATTAAACCAGGATTCCGACCACGGAAACTTCCACGCTCCACATTATTACCAGGTAAAGCGGCCAGGTTCAAAGCTAAAAACAATCAATAACCACGCAATGTAGTTTCAAGACAATTCAGAACGCACGCACTCCAAGCGGCCTGCAGATCACCGGAACCCATGCAGGCGACATTTTTATTCAGGCGTGTCAGTGCATCTTTAGTTTAACTTTGAAATGGGACGCTTCGGAAGAAAGTTAGGCACCCACATTCGTGATTCAGTTAAACGAATATTTGGCCAAAAGACAACAAAGAATAAATACGTCGCAGTATCCCAGAATGCCTCCGCTGAACATAATAGAAATGAAGTCTGCGGTTCTAAACAAGACAAACGGCAACCGCACTCTAGTAGGCCCCAGAGGCTGGAGTCGCTAAGTGGCAGTGTTTCAACGCTCACATCAACGGCGGATCACTATACCTTTCGGTCTCAGGAACAGGGGTACCTCGTGGAAGATTTGTCCTCCGTTGAGGGTAGCAATTCAATTTCCACTAAATCCATCGTAAGAGCAAACTGTGAAGAGGACAAAAATCAGGCACCCTTATTTGCAAGTGCAGGTGATATCAGCGAGAGGTCTGATCTATGCAACGGCAAAGAACAACCCACTATTAATATTCAGACGGAAAAGGATTCCAAGAGTACAAAACCCGATAAAAGCCAGAAAGTTAAGGCACCCTGCCTAACTAGACGTTTCGAGCATGACCTACTCGTGTGTACTGATGAAATTGATGGTTCAAAACTGATGAAACTGGTACCACGTTCTGCTCGAAGTCAACTCGAAAGTGGAAGTAATTGCGAAGATAATGAAATGAAGATCGAACATCCCGCGGTTTTTAGCCGCTCTATAACTTCAAACAAAATAACTGACCGAGGTCTGGGCAAATCTCACAATTCCAAGTCCATACTGAAGAATCATCGCAGACTTAAAACTGTGGAAATGGAAGAAGCAGAACTAGAGCAAGAACGTCTTATTGGAGGAGTGAATAATAGAACTGCCGGTGACGGCATGAATGCTTCAAAGGCTTTGTTCGCTTCGCAAAAATATCTAAGCCCTGCAGATCAAATGAAAATTAAAACATTACGGGAGCTAAATGAGGAATTTGTCAATCTTTTGACCAAAAGGTCACCAGATAGGCACCACCTCCTTAAGAAGTTACACTATGAACCATTTTGGAAAGAAAATGGGACCATAGATACTGATGCCGAGAGAAAGTCCTTGTTTCAAAAGATTCAGATCAACCGATGCTCCGAAAATATTTCCCAGAGAAGCAATCAGGGTGTCCTTCGAGAACTTCATAACAGCACAACGGACTCCAATGGCACGTTAATGGCGCACCTTTCACTTAATAAACCGCCTATGAAATATGGAGTAACTGCATCCACGAAGGTATGTTCTCATAAGAAACCTGTTGGATCTAAATGGTCCAACAAGTGGTGGCCAAACGAGAGTTCAAAATGCAATGGCATCATTGGTTGTACACAAATGAACAAAAAAGATCGAGTGAAGATTAACGACACAAGACAGTTGTCTGGGCGAAAGGACAAGCTGAAAACCATCGAGAGCCCCATGACAACTGTGGTGATGAGTCAATCCCACAACTCTTCTTCCGAGGAGGTACAGGAATTATCCTCTGAACAGGGTGTTCTGGAAATAGGTAAAGCACCAAGTTATGGTTTCCTTTGCAGCGTGAATACAAATATTCAAACATTTCTAGAAAAATATTTGACTTCTTAAGTAAGCGAGGTTAGGAGAAAATATATTTTTTTCTTGCGAAAATGCAAAAAAATTATAAATCGCCTAGTATAAACGTAAAGCATAGGTTCAGATTTTGTTATTTTGCTCCGCCTAGCGTTGAGGATTTAAGCTAGGGTTAAGGTTATCCCGCCTATGTAAGCGAATTTATTCACAGAGTCGACGCAAGTTCTATCGAAACTAATCCTGGACGCAGAGTATTCATCCGATAGTACTAGATGACACATAATAACCATCATCTCCGTGCATATAGTCACTCTGATGTTTGTATAACATGGGCAAAAATTTTCATGGTCCATTGCAAGTCTGTTTCCTCAATGGTGTTGAATGCGCAATCATTCGCGAACAGGAGATCGTAAACCCCAGTCGTGAATACTCGCACAAATTCTTGAATTCGTCAGAGGTTGAGTACGCGCTGATAATCTTAATGGGTGATACGGATTCCAGGTCGTCACATGCGGTTCAGCATGGCAAAGAAAATTTCACCGAAGAGGATGAGAACGTGCGCGAATCTCTAGATCACTCCATTTGTCCCTATGAGTGATTGCAATACTGTTCAGCTGTTTGTAACACGAGTGATCGTTCTGACTTGGAGCTGCTACATTATCCGTGTGAAATGCTCCGGATCCCTGAATTTCAGTATAATTTTACGTGGGCTAACGCATTTGACTACATTTGTGGATTTAGATGTTGTGCATAAAGACTGAGAACATCTTTGAACTTCTCAACCCAATGGTCTAGAATTTATGATTTTTTGTAAGAAGGGTTGTTCCGTTGAAGCTGAACAATGTCGTATTCTGTTTGACTTTGGGACGCAAATCACTTCGCTGGAGGGAAAGAAGTTTACAATTATGTTGTGGTTTACACATCCTTGTATTTTTTAGTCCTATCGGTCATCTAAACATTTTCCCTTTTTCTCGGTAACATCTACACTTGTTGGCGTTTGTTATTTAGTTAATTTAGGTCTAATGCAGCCTATTCTTCTGGGGAAGTAAATTTTAAACTGTCTCGCCATTGGTATTAAATCGATCTTGGCGCTGACCGTATACACGACCGAGGACTACTCGATAAGTAAAGAAGATGACGTTTCTCCTATGGTTGCACTGCGTCTAATCCGGGACATTTGCCGTCTTCCGAAACTGGAATTTCGCTAAAATCTAATGGGCAGGTCAGCTGTACTCAAAACGTATAGCATGTAACTTACCTGGCGTTAGTTTAAAAGGTAAAATAGGCTAAGAAGCAGGTTTTTAAGATGAGTAACATATCACCGTTGACCAACTATAGGCTCTTTCGTCCGCCTGCACAATCAACTGCCCAATAAGAAAACTTGGCAACACTGCTGGGCGTCCCAGCAAAGTGCCCAGAGAAAAAAATGAAAAGGCCGAAGAGATTAATGAGCTAACTACGCTGGTTGGCATTTCTGTTGGATCGATTATGACGAATTGAGACCGTAGAGACCGTCCTTCTTTCAGACATGCGGAATATTATAAAGAACGAAAGCCCTGATATAATTTAAATAAATATCCGGAATGCCATTCTGATTGCGTTGAGATATTTAGGCATATCCTCACAATCCGTGTCAAAACCCCATC